AACACATAAATTATCTACACCCCCGTCGTTGTTAATACTCATTTTATTTAATTTTATAATTTTATTCTTAAACAAATATACCTCCCTCTCTCTATATATGTATGTATATATATATATATATATATATATATTTCACTAATTAGATTTTATTATTTTTTTCGAATTATTTGAATACTTTTTGTTAATGATTATATTAACAATTAACATATATTTATATAACAGTTTTCGTATCATTAATCAAAGAATTATGGTTCCCACACTAATATTATATAATAATAATAATAGTAATCTATGGTGGCAGCAGCAACCAGGGTGGTGTTGGCAACGTCAATGACGGGTGAGGTATTGCGATGGTATATGTTTGATTGGAATTTATATGTTAATTCGAAAATCTAGCTGTGAGATCTTTAACTTGTGCACTCTCTAAGAAGTATCAATTACAAAACAAGTGGATTCAACATATTTTAAAAAAAAAATTATCACAAAAGAAGCTTACCGAAAAAGCAAATTTTGTCCAAATCAAACGAAATTCAATTAAATTAAATTAATAAAATCCTATGAAATACCAACCTTCCCATGAGATTTTAAATCCCACGTTTGTAGGATTTCAATTTAAATCTCAACATTCTTTCAAACCAAACATAGAATTATGCAAACCAAAGGAAACATCAAAAGTTTGATTAAAATAATTTGTCATTCTAACTCAACTCCGTTGGGATGGTAATCTCTCGTCATTCAGGTTCTTTTTCCTATTAATAAAAAGGAAAACAGTATTGGATAAAGCTTTGTTTTTGATTCTACGGTATCAACTACGTATTTGCAACAACAAAGACAAACCCTATCTCATTCTGACCTATTCTTTTTCGCCACCATTAAAATCATTTGCAAAAAGCGGACTCCGCCAGATCGATCGCTCGAGCCAGACCAGCCGCTTTGTTTTGGCACTCCTGTTGCTCGTCCTCTGGAACGCTATCCGCAACAATACCAGCACCGGCTTGAAGGTGCGCCACCCATTGTTTTCGCTTCGTGTCTTCCTTGTATAAATACATCGTATCAAACCGGGCTCCAGTTGGGAACACCATGGTCCTAAGAGAGAGCGCAATGTCCATTTCGCCAGAAAACGAAATCCACCCGAACCCTCCACTATAGGGCCCACGTCTCGTAGCTTCCAGTTTATCGATCAGTTCCATGGCCTTGACCTGTACAAAAATTGGAATCGATGAATTCAGATACCAAAGGCCCAGACTCGGTGCTCCTATTAGACATTTGAATATTCTTCTAACAATTTGTGCATGAGATTCTTTTGGGGTTAGCTTGATATCTTACACATTGACATTTTGCAAAGTTGAGTGGTGATGTAAAAAGAAAGTAAGAGCGAACCTTTGGAGCGCCACTGACTGTTCCAACAGGAAGTGCAGAACGAAGGGCGTCCCAGCAAGTGAGATCATCACGCAACTCCCCCGTCACCTTTCAGAACCAAAAGGAATTCAAGATTTTCGATACAAGTGATTTTTCAATTAATCATCATTCTTGTAAACATGCAAAAAGAAATATAGTTTGCAAGCCCGACCAACTTGGAACAAACTCTCAAAGGTATAAACGCAAATAGAAATAATTGTATTTGATACTTTTCATCCAAAACTGCTTGTTCTTGAAAACAAGTAGTTTTTCCATTTTTGCAACGATGAAAAGTCAAGTACCATAGATCAAAAGGTTATTCCCTTATAATTTTACTGTTGGACCAAGATGTTTAGGGGTGTTTTGTACATGACAGTACAAAAACTTACTGTATCATGTTTGACATGATATTTTGACATGACATTAGACCTTACTGTATCATGTTTGACATGACATTAGACATGGACAGGACAAAGACCCAAATAGGACAAAAGTGCTTTCTTCTATTCCACCAAAATGGAAATGAGAAATATTGATAAATTACTAAATTATCTATGTCAAATTAAAACCCTAAAACCTCCTGTGAAACACCTGCCTACCTCACTTTCAACCATCCAGTCCAGTCCATCCACATACCAACTACCAAATGCACTCAATGTTAAAAGAAACTAATCAACAAGTAGAGGGACAGCATCTTACAGTGGAACTGATATGCATCACATGTGAGTACCGCTCAACAGTCATAAGCTTTTCCACATTCACTGAGCCAGATTTCGAGACCTAAACCCAAGTTACAAGTCAGCAACGGGAATTAAGAAAGTAACGTTTTGAATCGGGATGAGTCACGGAAATATTCAGTTGAAATAGACGTTAGAATGAAGAACCTTTCCAACATCATTCCGTCCCAAGTCAACCAGCATGATGTGTTCAGCACATTGTTTTTCATCATTTAGCAGCTGATGCTCCAACTCTTTATCTTCATCAGCAGTCCTTCCTCTTCTTACAGTCCCAGCTAAAGGTCTATTAACGACCATATTCTGTCAAGAGATATAACGTTGACGAAATTTAACACGAATATGAATACTTTTTGGATATGTGAAAGTAAGCTCAAGAAGTTACGTTTTTCACACGAGTGAGAATTTCTGGGCTTGAACCAACCAAGATACACCCTCGAGCCTGGCAATGTGAAACATCACAAGAAGTTGGGTAAAAAATGCATGAGAAAAATAATTGGAAAAACCAAAGGGTCGTTGGCTAAGTAGTACCCGGGTTACTGGTAGAGTCCAGCCTCCCAGGTCAAGGGTCCAAACCTCACCCAAAGGTGAGGATTGTGCGTATTTGCCATATATAAATACTATATACTGCAAAAAGAATTGGAAGAAGATTGATCCTTGAATAATGCACCTGCAAATAAGTCATGTATGGACTTGGATTCACAACTCTTAAAGCTCTGTAGATCTCAAAGGGATCTGCAAATGTCCGGCGTTCAAAGCGTTGGCTTAAAACAATCTGGAAAATATCACCTGCCAGAATATGTTCTTTTGCTTGCATTACTGCCGCCATGTATTCTTCACTGGTCATGCTTGACTGGTCCAGAGGAGTCCCGAATTGGTGGGTGCTTAACTCCACAGAACCCGGAGATAACCTTGGGCTAATCATTGAGAACTAAGAAAATTAATGTAAAAAATTGGATCATGGAACCATCAAAATTATCAAGTAGAAGACAGTCACTTACGCATCAACATCATGTACTCTAGACACCAATATCTCCAACCGTTTAATTCCATCTTCATAAGCTTCTTCAATAGATGAATACTGATCAAGCCTCACCCAGTGAATTACATACGCTTTCTGAGGACCAAAATATTTACCAAAATCAGGACAAAATATTCAAGGGAACCACAAATAAACAATAAGAGGGAAAGGGTCTAGAGTCTAGACAAGTTTTTCCATGAGTTTTCTCCAGAATGAAATAAATTGCCATTCCATTGCACTGCATCCAAAAAAGTCTAATTCCAAGACTTATTTCTTGTGCAAGAACCCATCCTACTGTATTTAATTATGCTGTGAGTACCTTTTGCACATGATCAAACACAATCACATCTTCATACAATCCGAGATGAAGGTCTGGTAGATTCCTGTCATCTACTGGTGCATCTATAAACAAGAGCTTCTTCTTCTCTACGTAGCGAACTGTGTCGTACGAAAAATAACCAACCCACCCACCTGTTAATGGTCAGAAGTTCAAATTGTAAATGCAGACATACCCATAAACCAGTCCATATTAGAGTTACAAAAGATTCTTTAAGATTATGCATTCCCGTCTAAATGATAAACTTAGGGAGGACTTCTACAAGTTTGCAATAAAACATAAGCAAGGGAAGATTTTGTTATGTTATTTAAAGCGAGACATACTACTTCACAGATAGAACTTGTTTACCAGAAAAGGATTCTAAATCCACAGGGAACATGAAGCCTTATATCTGTCTATAAAACCTATGAAAGTACTACAAGGACCCCAACCGATTTTCAGTCATGGTTCATGTTTAAAAATCCTCCCATGTTCAATGATTTTCAGTTTGTAACCAATGCTGCTCCTTCAGATGTAATTGCTAAACAATACTACTCTTAAATTATTCCATCATTAAGTTCCTTAGACTTCTAATAGGCTTGTTCACTGATTATACAACACCAAAAAATAAATGGACTTTATAATATGATATTTTATGAATGCCTAACTGAGAGCAATATGAATCAACTCATTGCACTTCTGCCTGCTATCAATGGGCTCAACCTTAGAAGTCATACACTGCTTCATTGATATACAAAAATTCACGTTGATTATTTTTGCCATCAAGAAAGATTGTAAGGAACATCTTTGTGCACGTAATCGCCTCACAGCACAAACTCCACCCCCCTGCCCCCCAAAAAAATCCTTGGGACTGCTACTAGACTAATAGTGATCCTCATGGATAGAAATTTTATAAAGTTACCTGTATTATGATGGATTTCTCTGGAATGTTAAATTGAAAGCAGTATCATTGGCCACATAATGAAACTTATTCTGGGAAGGAGCAACTAATGCTTCACCAACCCATACTTAAATTTAGCACAATGAATCACGGTGTATCTATAAACAGCATTAAACATTTGTCTTGGTTAGAGGCATGGCCGTATAAATCTATATATGCATATACAAGAAAAAAGATGAAAACACCAACCCATACCCACGATAGGGAACATATCCTAAACAAGAAAGGACAATTTCAATTATGAAACAAGGTTTTCACTATGCCCTATATTTTTATCACCTACCCCACCACATAAGGATTAAATAATACTCTCCCTTCACCTTTACATGAGGTCATTCTCACAGGGAGCAACATTTAAGAGTTACAGTAATTATAGTCAATTATCTGATAAGATAAGAGTAGTAGTGGTGAACTAGGTGACAACTGATAATGCAACATTGCTTCTCATAAATTTATGTCGTGATTTGTATGAGTGTGGCTTCCTGGATCCAACCATTAGAGAGCAATAATCAGAAATGCAAAGGATAAATCAATAAAGTTCCGGTAAACAACATTTATTCCCATTTAACACTAGGTCATACCGCAAAATGTATCAGGAAGGCCATCAAGAAGTTGAGGTTTCCAACCATCGGAGAGACCTTTTGGAATTTCCAAAGGATCATCAATGACTTTCTCAATCAAACTCCCTTTCGTATGATCCACAATGGTGACATTATTTTCTTTAGCCATAACTTCAATTGATGGCTCAGATCCAACCACGCTGTATCGACCCTAACAAATTAAGATAAGAATATCAAAAATCATCTTAAAATAAAACAAGGATATCTTCTAATCAACCGATTCTGAATATCCAATCTGATAATCAAACGCCTTGGGATGCTTCCTAGTTTCAAAAATCCTAAAATATCATATCATAAGACAGACATTTTACCATTCTAGTTCTTTGCTCCAGTGTAGAGACAATAAATATAGAAATCAAAATGACTTTTAGGGTGTTTATGTTACAAGGACGGTATTGAACAAGACTGGGCGGGAAAGAATGAGATAAGGTGGATGAAAGAATATGCTGAACGTTTTAGGATTTTAATGTGATCTAGGTAGTATAATAATTTACCAAGCTTGCGTGTCTCTAGATTTTTGTTCCACCTATATTTTGATGGGACATAAAGTCTGCGTTTGGTACATGGTACGGGACGGGACAAAACTCACTGTCCCATGTTTGGCGGAGCATGGAACAGAACAAGAACTCAGTCTCACACAGGGACAAAAACTGGGACAGTATGGGACAAAAGAGACTTTTTCTTATTCCACCTATTTATGGGACAAGAAAGAGATAAAAACTATAATATTACTAATCTACCCTACTTTGATATATAACCTTAAAATGGTTCTGTTTTAATGGTCATCACTGCTAGTTTCGGTCGCCTCCGCCACCGGAGGCCACCTCCACCTCCTCTTCCACTACAACAACATCCTCCATCGCCTCCACAACCACCGTCCACCATCGTCCATTGCCATCTCTACCATAGTCGACCACCGACCACCACCGTCCATTGCCACCACCACTACCGCTGTTCGCCACCTCCAACTCCTCCTCTACTACAACAACCTCCTCCTATACCACCTCCACAACCACCGTCGACCACCGGCTACCACCGTCCATTGCCACTTTTACGACCACCACCAACACTACCACCGTTGGCCACCTTCAACTCCTCCTTACCACAACAACCGGTCCATGACCTCCACAACCACCGTCGATCACCGACCACCACTGTCCATTGCCACCTCTACAACCACCATCGGCCACCGACCATCACAATCCATTGCCATCACCGTTGGCCACCTCCAACTCCTCCTCTACTGCAACAACCTCCTCCACGACCTCCACAACCACCGTTTGCCACCTCACCTCCACCATAATCACCACCACCACCACTATCTTCACTACATCAGCCACAAATACCTCCACCGTTGTGAACCGCCACCACCACCACAATCCACCATTTCACGTCTTCTATAACCACCGTTGTCCACCAACCACCACTGCCTCTACCTCTACCTCCATAACCACCGTCGGACACCGACCACCGCCACTACTACTGCCGGCCACCACCACCTCCACCACCATCAATTATATCAAATTTTTCATTCAAATTCGTTACCATTATATATGTATGCATTCATTTATATAAAAATTGTGTAAACATATTTATAAATTAAATTCTTTAATCATTTACTTTACTTGTTTTAATTATAACTATTATATAATATTTAAAATAATCAAATAACTTTTAGAGTAACTTGTCTAGTTCTCTCCTAGCCGTACCAAACATCAGACATACACTTGCTCTGTCCGGTGTTACTTTCTTGTCCTTTCCTGTCCAGATTTGCCTGTTTATCAAACGCTACCAAAAAAATGCACTTTTTGCAAGTCCGGTCTAATTGTCAAACCAAACATGGGATGAAACGTTTTGTACAATCCTATCCTGTCCCGTGTAACAAACCACGGTTATAGCTGAATTTGATTATCGTTTTTTTTCCTTCCCAGGAATTCATAAAAATAATGTTAGAGGCTAGTGAAAATGATCTTACAACTTGTGAAGATAGAAAACCAGGTTCCACCGACTCAAAAAGAAAGCTAGGAACCTCCCGATCATCTTCGTTAACCAGACAGCGGTAAGCAAGCACCGGTGTCAAGTGATCAGCAAATAGGCATCTGTGAAGTGGCACCAAATTCCCTTTCTTTGAAGCTTCAAGGAACTCTGCTTTATCCGCAACTATACCAGAATCATTCGAGATCAAATTAGCAAAACAAAACAAAATCTCACATTCTGATTACAATTACAAACTTCATTCTTAGTCCAATGAACTTGTGTACATTATAGAAATTACAAAAATCTGTTAGTTGGTAATGCTTCCTTCCCCTTTCCAAAATCAGATAATTTCGTAACCAATCAGCCAAAAAAAACTCGATCCAAAACACATTTTCGATTCATGTTAACTTAAAAAGAGACCGAAATCAAATACTCTTAAGCAAAAACACAAATGCTATTCGGTATTCCTCCAATACCTTAAAACAAATAGATTACCTAGAGACGGAGATTGAAGAACACAACGAAGCGGACTACGAATGCGGAACGAAAGCGAAGTCGGACTGGTTCGGCTTCGACCGGAAATGGCGGTGCCTTGAGGGTCCAACGGCGGAGAAAATCGGTGAAACGACGGTGATGATCGGAGAGAAACAGCTAGGGATTGCATCATTCACCGACTAAACAATGCACATGAAAATTTCTGGCTAGATACAAGTGTACTGTGCATCTATATCTATATCTATATCTATATCTATATATATATAGGCAGAGAAATAAATAACCCCCAAGAGATGGGGATTTGTAAATCGTAACGGCTGTTGCTTCCCTCGGATGTGCTGTGCATATGCTTTTGCAAGAGTTTGAATAACAATTTCCAGATCAGATATGCATCAACCGGTTGTACATTTTGCATTAAAATCCATACTTTTCTTTGTATGTTGTCATTTTGCTACTTTGTTAGCAAAAGCATAACTTTTTTATCTTTTATTTTTAATAAAAAGCCCTTTTGATAAAAATAATCTCTATTTTTTAGCTAAAATTGTTAATAAATTAAGACTAACTTCTTCAGTTATTTTATATTTTATTCAACAAGTATTAAATAATCTACCTTTTGTTTCATTGATTTAAGGGCTGTTTACCAAATTTTCTATTAAGTCATGTATGGATAAATTATTCTGTTTGAATAAATTTGTCTGTCTAGATAAACATGCAGTGTTGTTTCTTTTTTCTTCTGAATCAATGATCTGAATGGCAAAATTGACCATTTTACCCTCAATGAACTTAACATTCTTTCACATCATTAAAGAATTCATGCTAATGAAAATGACTAGGGTTTTCAGAGGAGACTACTCCAATCGATCTCCGATATGTCCATTCAACCTAATCTCATACACTTCCCATACACTTCCCATGAAATTTATGAGCTCAAAAAACCCTAAAAACCCACCAACAACCAGTGACAGAAAATGCATCGGTCTAAAGAACATCGAAGAAGAAACCCACCTTCGATCTGTTGCTGAAACCCACCTTCGATCTGTTGCTGAAAATCGAAGAAGAAACCGAAGAAGACTCGATGGAAGGAGAAATCGAT